TCTCTCTCTCTCTCTCTCTCCATCTCTCTCCATCTCTCTCCATCTCTCTCTCTCTCCCTCTCTCTCCCCTCCCCCTCTCCCTCTCTCTCTCTCCCTGCCACGACCACAACCACCACTTTCTTTTCGGCCCGCTCTCAGGCTCTGTCAACTAAGCGCGGGCGCCAACAACCCCTCTTCCTCACACGAGTCAGTCACTGGTGTTGTGTGACCTCGGGGGGCTGAGGCTATATTTAGTCGTGACCCCGCTCCTTGATGCACACAGGTTTTCCGGTCGCGATATTTTCAAGTATACCAAACAACCACCGAGGAAGTTGTGAAAGTTTTCGCTCCTGATTTGAACGTAGCGCTGTGCTGTGTTAAAACATTCTGTGTTGAGGCGTCGTTTTATTTCTTGTGACAAACAGGATTAATCTTCGGTTTGTGCTCGCGTGTGTAATACAATATTCAGGTAGGGACGTTGCAACAACAGATGTGTGTAGCTTTGTGTCGGTTCGTCGACACTTCCAGGGCTAGGTTTGTGACCTACAGTGTAGAGACTCAATACATTGATCGACTTCTGTCATTCGGTTCACGGGCACTGTTCTATAAATAATATTGTGGGAAGCACCGCCTGTCGTGGTGATTTTGTTTATGGTAAAGAGCGATGGGAGGGTTGACCAGTGAGGGGACAGTTGCCTGCTTTAAAGAAAAAACGTGATATTCGACGTCGAATGTTTCGTCGTCAGCGTTATTTTCAGAACTAAACAGTGTAACTAGAGTGGAAAAAATAAAGATTTAGTTTAAACTTGATCTAGAATTGTCTTGGCATTGGTCTTGAACTAATCCAGAAAGAAAATAATATTTTTGTGAACGTGCTCGGTCACAAAAGTGACCCTTGCAGGCAACGGTCAAAGGAAAACAACAAACAAAACAAAACTTCTTTTGCATTCAGCAAATCTTTCCGTCAACGTCAAAGGAAAACGTGTATTTATCTTATTCTTTACATCTTTATCCCCTCTTTTTGCTCTTACTCTTTGTATGTTCCTGTTGCTGTTCTTATTTCTCCTAGCTATTCCTTGTATAGGCGCTTCTCCCTTTCTCACGCAGCAATAACTGCCACTAGATCTAGTATAACAAGAGCAAGATGCTCTTTAATTTCAAATCACACCCACACGCCCACACACTCCCCTTCTCCTCCCCCCATCTCTCTCTCTCTCTCTCTC